TCTCTTCCAACCTAAAGGATTCCACGATTGCATAACCCACCTTGCCCTTCTCGTGGCTGACAGCCAGGTGCTGGCGCCGGCCGTGTGGGGAGGAGAGCACACACATGGCCACGCGCCGCAGGACGTGGGCGCTGATCAGCTGCCGGATGGTCTGGCCCTGGTCCCCGCTGTAGTTCATCCGGACGTTCTCGAAAGCTCCCTCTTGAGAGCCAAGAGTTGGGACCTGAGTCATCAGTACAAGCACACAAAAGCGTGGGGTTGAAGTTGTGCTGTTTCAAAGTGATCCCACCTACCCCATAATCACGCCCTTAGTATCGTACCATCAACTGATCTGTCATCTCCACTGACTTGTCCAGAGTGTGGAGCTCGTTGAGAGCTTGCTGAGCACGACTGCTGCTCCCCATGGCTGAAGCCTGCTGGAAGTTTATCTGGATGGCATCCATCAGGAAATTCAGCATCTCCAGCACCAAAGGTGCAAAGGAGAAGTTGGCCTACAAGAAAAAGGTAAAGCCAGTGAGGCACAAGATGCTCCTGCTGGGATTCTTCACTGCTTGTCAACTGCTTCTGAAAACCTGACAACACTTTTAAGATCCCTCTTCTCATACAGAAAAGCATAAAAATCAAGGAATTTGGCTGATAACCAACAGAGTCTACCTAAGCTCCTCACCACAAACCATCTTCTTTTAGAAGCCAGCTGATGATTATACCTGGGACTGCAACTCCTCTCGACAGCCCTCAACGTTTCTACACAGGCTGCTCTTCTTGGGTTTCTCTTCATCAGGGCCCTTCCCCTCACTGATGGTGACCTTGGCTTTCTCTGCAGGAGAGGTGCTTGCGTGGCGAATGACGCTCTCAGGCACTCTGGGCTCACTCTGGAAGGCAGATTCTTTCATGGTAGAGCTCATACCACTGCTGGGAGTTCTCTTCACCAAAGCCTGGGAACGACAGGGGAATGCTGAAAGCCCAAACCAGACTCAATTTCATCACTGACAAAATTAATTACAGACTGTAATAGCAGCAAGACTAATGTTATTTTAAAGAAATAATAAGAGTGCAGTTCTCTTAGATCTCAATTTTAAAGGAACAACACCCCAGTTATTTATTTTCTGCAGTATATAGTGCAGGCCACTCTCCACCCAAGCATTAGAAAAACTTTAATATTTAAGATCCAATTACTTTGTTTGCTGTTAGTGGAAAACATGAGAAAAGGTGATGTGAGACTGCTGTGTAGCTTAAATTAACTTCTGAATTCTGCAAAGGTAGGTGGAATCCCAGCAGTCACTAGAACAGAGCTGCCAACGCATTTATTTGATGCAAAAAAATAAAACCCCAGGCAAGCTGTAAATAAAGAGGGTTCATCATGAAGCCAAAGCCTTCAAGTCCTTCAAGGACTCTTGTGCACTCTTATGACAAAACTTATGGCAGAACAGAAACCTCTGCAAAAAAACTTTAAAAACTAAAGAAATCACAGCTTGGATGTTGACATGAAGACACTTTACCAGGCAACTGCCATCTTCCTTGGCTCCACAGTCACAGAAGAATGATCCATATTTGGCATAAGAAATCTCATGATCCTTGTGACAAACTTTAGCACAGACAGTGCAAACACCAACACCATCAACCATCTTGCAAGTGTGACAGTGATACCTGCACAAGATAAGCCAGATGAGCTATAGAACACAGCACCTCAGGAAGGCCCACAGGCTGCATTTGTTCCCCTCTCAATGGCCTGGAATATCAGGCTGAAAATCCAAACACAAGCTTGAGATTCTTACCAATGTTGATTCATGAATTCTTTCTGTGTGATGGTGAAGGTACAGAGTTTGTTACAAAGAGAATCTTCATCCTGTCAAGAAAAAAAGCTGTTTTAGGAAGGTGTTCTAAGTGCAGATAAAAATACATATATTTTTCAGGAGCTAAATGCACATTTTAAGAATACCAAGTTTTAGCATCACTTAGCCAAAGGCAGCTGGTATCAAATCACATGGAAAGAGGAGATGGCAACATTTTATAGCAACTCAAAAGAATGAATCAAGAGGAAATGCTAACAAAAATATTAGGATGACAAGTTTTAAAGAAAGCATTACTAACAGATAAAATGCAATAATGCATTTGCACACCCCAACAGCACTTAAAAACCTAATCTGAATTTCTTGATATAAAATGCAGTACTTGATTAAAAAAACAGTAGGAACAAATCCATCTTTCTCCATTTCTTCCTTTTTTTTTTCCTAAATTAAAAAAACAAACCACATTTAACTTTTGTTGCCATCACAAAGTCAACATATCCATGCATGAATAACGGATACTGACAGCCAGGGTTCTTCCCATTAGGAATAAACAACAAAATCTTGATTTAAAACCTGTGTAATTCTGATTATCTCATTTGCCACCTTCACTGTGGCTGCTGCCTACCGAATCTTCAGCCTGAGAGTCCTCCTCCTCCACTGCCAGCTCCTCCACCCAGTCTGAATCCACCTCGATGGCCCGTTCCTCTCCATCCACAGAAAGGTGACTTGGTCCTTGGCCACTGCTCTGGCTCAGTGCATTAGTGACATCAGCCAGGTATGAGACAATGTGGCAAGTACACTCCAGGATTGTCACATGCTGTAAAGCAGAGATGAAGGAAAATGAGAGGCTATACTTAGATCCCATAATAGCTGCTATAAGACAAGAAAATAGAACAGTCCCCCTGACCAAACTCCTCTAAAACTCCCACGACAGAGCTGAAACAGGACAGCTGATAAAAGCTCACACCTCAGGCTTATTCCTGCAAGTCAAGCAGCAGTCAGGTGTCTTACCTTCCCTTGCATGACGTTTGCATTCATCTTTTCTACCACATTCTTTTGAGACAGGTATTTCTTGCTGTAACACAAAGCAGTGGAGAAGATCACTACAGCTAACAGGTCTTTGGAAGGATAAACACAGCTCTCACCAATAGCTTCAAGCAGCCAGTTTGCTTTAGATTAACAACAGGGAATGTATAAAGGCAGTAATTAAACCATAGAGAGTGGAAAAGACAAAGAAAGCACGTGGTTGTTATTAACAGGGGGACACAGATCAGCCTCTCTCACACACTATATTCAAAAAAACAAACAAACTAAAAACTAAGCATGGATCAGTAAACATGAACTTCCCTCCCCAAATTACCAGGGGAAAAAAAATTTAAAACATCAGTCTAAGTGATGCAAATGGACAAACAGCAGCAGAGTTTGCTCTTACCATCTGCCCAGCCAGTCAACAGCAGCACCATGAAGCTGGAGGTGTCCTGCACCTTGTCCTGCACTAGCCAAAGTTGCCATCACGACCATCAGCTCAGGAAATCCTGTGCCATCACCATTGGCCAACATTTCTGTAGCCATTGGTATCAGAGTACTCAGCAGAACAGTGCACACGCCTTCTCCAACTTGGCTAATCAAGAAGAAAGAAGTCTCAGACATGTCACCTAACCCAGTGAAACACAGCTGAGCCCCACAGAGCCAGGGCATGGACACAGCAATGACTTCAGGACAAGCAACCACGTCCCCACCACTACATTTGAAAGTTGACAACAAGAAGCCATCAACCACTGACAAGTAATTTGCACATCCAGGGAACACAAAAAATGCACAACTAGAATGACCAAGGCTGTACCTCACCTGTTCTCCCAGGGAACACAAAAAAATGCACAGCACACAACCAGAATGACCAAGGCTGTACCTCACCTGTTCTCCCAGGGAACACAAAAAAAATGCACAGCACACAACCAGAATGACCAAGGCTGTACCTCACCTGTTCTCCCAGGGAACACAAAAAAAATGCACAGCACACAACCAGAATGACCAAGGCTGTACCTCACCTGTTCTCCCTAACAATGTAAGTTGTCAAGAGCTGCAGCAGCTGCCTGTTCTCTTGCACGACATCCAGCTGGTCTGAATCTTTGGGTGGGGACATGGTCATCCTGGTTAACCAGGCCTGGAGACGTACAGGCTCCACACAAGCCAGCTGAGCCAAAGAGCCACAAAGTCGCAGCAGGCTGGGGTTGGGGCTCTTCTCAGCTGGGGGAGAAAATGTCCAGTGAGTGACACAAGCAACAGTGAGCAGGACTGAAGATGCTTTCCATCAGAAGTGTGAAGCTGTCACTCCTCTTCCTCTTACAGCTTTTCCTTCACACACTCTCCCATCACAGCCCAATACAAGAACAGTATGGAGCAGGCAAAGCCAGGACAGAAGAAAGTCAACCACCACTTACTGAGCTGGAAGAGCTTGGTGAAGAATTTCAGCACTCTGTTACAGAACTTTGCCGAGAGGTTCTCATTGGCTGTTGCCATCATGATCTGCACCAGTTCTCCACTAGAAGGAGGGGGGAAATTAAATCAGCTTTGTAAAGGACAACCCATTCTTTTTTTCTCTTACACTCCTGTCTGCCCTCACACTTCAGCTTGGCAATAGTTTGTAGTAATGTTGCCCAGCAGCCAAGCCCCAGAAATTGCTTTCAAACATCAAACTCTTGGCCCAGACTAAAGGTTGTAAATCCCACCAGCTCCTCAGCAGCACATCTGCATTCTCCATGTACCAAGTCACAAAAGGGCCTCGACTGGTTTCCAAGCAAAAAACTCAAGATTTTCTTGACTATTTTTCCCTTCCATGTTAACAGCCACCAGACTGTTTTAATTCTGAACTGTTGAGCAAGTCAAGAGAAAAGGAGACAATAGTCAGCTTTGTAACACAAACTCCAGTCCATCCTTCTGCCTCTTCAGAACATCCTTGTTGTGTTATGCTGTTTCCACCACAATTTGTCTTCATAATTCTAAATCAGGCCAAGACCCCACCTCCACCTGAAAATTACCAACCTGCTGCCCTGAGGACACACTGAGAGAACTTGGGATTTTGTAACACCTCTGACAAAATCTTCTTGCAAGACTCCCCACTGATGATCACAGTGAGGACTTGCTGAATATTTTATTTGGAATGACAAAGACTTAAGTCCTCTCCCACACACAAAGTCTTTCCACACTTTCCTGCACTGTTTGAAGGGTATCCTACAGCTACACAATTTGGTATTTTCCTTCACAGCAACATTCAGGTGTTGACAGTGACAAGTCAAGAGAAAAAAGGAAGAGAAATAAATTTCTTAAGGCTACAACACTCAGGGTGGCTTCACCTTTCTGAAAAGAATTCCTCCATGGCTTTTCGGGCCTGGCTGCTCTCCAGCTGTTTCTCCAGATGCTGCAAACATTCCTCCAAAATGGACTCATCCAGGCCACTGAGGATCAAAAGATGCACATTAAATAGGAATATATAAGAGCAATTTCAACAGTTCTGGGAGCCAAGAAGTGATCAATTTTGCTGATACAATTCTAATAAACTTCCCACTAGCTGAAAGCAGCTCTCCTTCCAAAAGGCAGGAGGCAAATAATTGGTGAACAGACATACAGAAACACCAACAAATCCACTGAGTGCTCAGAAAAAAGCAGCACATGATGCTGCAGGCAAGTTAGACAATCAGAAACCTAGAATGATCCAGACCTTTCAGACACCTCACGTTACAAATCCCTCTAAATGGCTGCTCTTTTCCCACTCTAAGTCTCTTTTAGTTTTCCTCCTCCTCATTCTCTCCTGTGCTCATCCCACTCCAACAATGCACCCTGCAAGTAAAATCCAATTACATTTACATTCTCTGCTAGCAGGCACAGTACATCTCCCTCTGAATCCCTTCCATCCAGAGAGGATCAGTGTTAAAAAGATGCAACATCATTGTGCCTAATAGTTTTATGTTTCAGGTGGGTAGAATCAACACCTGCACATCAAGCTTACTCCCTCTACACAGAGAGCAAGGGGTGGGAAGCACAAACCTGGCCACTTTGCTGTGATAAAGCAGGGATTAGCCACCCTTACAAAGAGCAAAAACAGAGAAAGGAATGCAGAGCAAGTAAGGTCAGCATCTTCAGCTTGGATTTTGTGCTCCTTATTTACATCATTTTCTATTTGCTTACATAAACTATGCAGATATTATACATGCTCCATCCAGAGTCACAAGAGGTGGTTAAAATCCTGAATGGGAGTGCTGAAAATTCCAGTAACATGAATAAAGTATCTCCTATTTTCAGTCTACAAGTACAGAAGGCTTCAACAGATAAAAACAAGCTGATTTTTTGCCTTTCTGTTCAAGAACTGACCCTGATGTTTCAACACACTGTAGTAATTCTTTGTATACAGCTTTGTTGGAGCAGAACACAAGCCACACAGGGTGTTACCTGTTTGGGTCAGAGTGATGGGCCAGTATGTTATAGCAGCCCATGATCAACTTCTCATAAACACGTGCCAGGAATTCATCAGATTCTGCAGGGCCCAAGATCCTTTCTAGGGAGTTGCTGCTGATTTCTGCCACACTCTCTGTGCTGGTCTCCAAAAGGAGGGGCAATAGGGAATGAATCACCTGTGGTGGGTTCAAGTCATCTGACCAGCTGGAAAAGAAAAGCAAAGAAGTTAATTCTCTGCATGACATATCATATGGGATAAATCAGAAGTCACACCTGTAAAGCACAAGTCTGGATAGAAGCCAGTGATAAAAACCTTTATAGAAAGCTGGGATAAATATGCTGGCCCAGCCATTTTTCCCCAGAAAAACAGTCCTTGTTTGGAAAACCCTACACTTTACTTTTGCAGATAGTTATAACATTTTCCTAGACAGTCATGCTGCTGTGCAGTATGGCTTTTGGACTCATCTGCAGTGTCAACAACTATTCTTTTGTCTCAGAGCATCTTAGAGTAAGTGCTTGGGAAAGAAAACTAAAAAAACACCCTTTCTTTTCACATTTTCCTTTTGCTCTGAAAACATCACACGGGTGAATGATAACACAACACACATGAATTAATTAGATCCATATTGTCTCAGTTTATATCCCAGTTTCTTCAAGACTCTCTTTGACAAAAAGGTTTCTCTCAGAGAATCTGACTGTTGGAGACACCAGATCAAGGCAATGTCAGAATGGCAGAATCATTTAGAACTGTAACCTGACCATAACTCTGTTAGAGGCTTAGCTCAAAACACAACAGCAGAGAGATCTGCACAGCGAGAACGTCACATAAACCCCATCACTTACACAATGAGATCCCCAGTGAGCCTGACCAGGGAGAGAAGGGTGTGTTTTAGGGAAGCTGCAAGAGGTAGACTTTGGCTGCAGAGAGTGCCAAGGTGGGCAGCCTGGACAGCACTGATGTAGCTCTCAGCAGGGATGGTGTCGTTGGCAAAGGCATTGCGCTGAGGAGCAAGGATGGAAAATCAGAACCAGTTATCTTCAAGAGGAAGACATGCTGCCCACCAGCAGTGTGTGGAGTTAAGGCCACACCAGATCACACACACACAAGGCTGGACTCACCCACGAGCCAATGTTTGGAAACTCGTTTGTATGAATGTTGTTCCATGATTCACACAAGGTCTGTACAGCTGATGGTAAGTTCTGAACCAGTGTTGGACCTGCAGTTGATACAGAATCACATCATGGAGTAATTTCATGGGTCCTACTGAAAACCAGAATGCTTCTACAGCACATTTTAAAACTAGATTATTATTTTAGATACAACTGTAGCTAAGCTGAGCTGTACATGCTCTTCTACAAGTCAAAACTCTCCCTGGGTTTCCAGCTAAGCTGAGCTGTACATGCTCTTCTACAAGTCAAAACTCTCCCTGGGTTTCCAGCTTCTTTCACTTCATCAAAACAACAGAAAACATGGCAAAAGTATTATTCACAGTGGTCTTCAACATTTCAGAATTCCCCTCACTATGGCATGCCACCAGAGCACCAGCACAGTTATAAAAGCATTTCAACAATCCAGATAATCCCACAAGACTGTCACCTTTTCAAGGTTTGCCCAACTTTTTCCGTTGTTAGGGTACTAAAAGGAAAAGACTTCCCAGGCTGCTGCTGCCAGGATGACACACTCGTTTGAACAAAGTGCTTGAGAATGCAGCACACAGCTTGGAAACTGTTGGCAGCAGTGGAGAAAGCTTAAAGTACATAAAGAAGGAAACTGGAACTATCCAGTGGCCTCACCTAGAGTGTTAGACTTGCAGCGGCTGGAGCCGATGGCCAGGACAGCAGCATAACCTCGGAGCTTCTCCTCAGAGGGTCTGTTCTCAGGGGAGCCCTCTTCAGAGAGGCTTCGTAGCAAGTAAGATCTGCATTCAGGATGGAAATGGTTTATTTCAGGGAACAGCTCTGCATGTCAGAACTAAGTGTGGCAACACAGTGACAGACAAGAAAGCAAATTTCTCAAGTCCTGCCCCATACCTCGTGTTATACCACTAAGGGAATTTCTGGGCTTTTATCTCCTTTAAGCTACTTACCAGGAAAAGCACCCACTCAAAAGAAAAAGCTGATTTACTTTGGCTTTCTTCTACATAGGTTCTAAAGAGAGTTTAGAAGTCTTCAAGCTCTTAATGTAAGAATTAAACCCCCTCTCTTTCTTGATGGTCTGACAGTCTCAGTGTTATCTCAGAGAAATAACCTTCTTTGGAACTATCCTAGAGCATTCATCTTTGGAGGAAAAGCTGGTTTTGCAAGCTTGCAAGAAAGCCTTGAAAGATCAGACAAGGAGACTGCTTAGAAACAACAACTTCACACAGATGGCTTGAGAAGCTACTTCTTTTAGAACAATGGACACACTAGAGGACATAATTATACTGGACTGTAAAAAAATAAAGGCATCTCTGCTAAGAAAAGGACAAAGAAATGCAAAGAAAACCTTTAGATGCAGGAGAAAATTGTATTCCCACTCGTGGGACTGTACCTGGTAAACGTGGCATACGTGTCAATGAGCTGTAGCGTGGCAGGGAGGAGGTTCTTGGTTATCTCTGAAGACTTGTGTGGATCAGTTTCTGCAGCTAGTTTGGAAAAGTGCTCATCTAGAGAAACCTGAATCTTGGAAATGGCAGCATCAAGGGTGTAAATGGATTGTAAACTGGGAACTTCGTGCAGCTGGAGAATGGTTGTGCAGTCAACACCACAGAAAGAAGAGATCTTAAAATACAAAGGGGTGGAACAGTCAATGGTAAAAAGAGTAAAAAAAATGCAAATCATTCCACAAGACCAGAGGCTCCATACCAATTATTGCATTCACAGCACCTCACCTGCCGAGCAAAGTATTCCTCTGCTATTTCCACATCGTACTTCACTGAGCTGCACTTGCTGGAGGCCAGTTCAATGAGAGAAGCAGCATGGTCAGCCTTCATACCCTGCTTGGTAAGGTGATCCTACAGATGCCAAAAAAAAAGACCTGTCACATTTCAAAAGCAATTTTATCATTTATAATTAACCACTCTGTCAATTACCAGGCTCGAACAGTTGAGAAAACACAGACACAAGTTCCCAGCTCTCACCACTGTGCCCACACAACAAATCCCACATGCAGCCAGCAGGGAAGAGCAGGAGACTGATATCCTTGCCAGCAACAGTGCCAAGGGAGAGCCCTGCAGAGGTGAGGCTGTACCTTGATCCAGGTGACGTAGGAGGCGACGCGCAGGCGCGAGGACCAGCGCAGGGTGTGCAGGATGTCACACTCACTCATCTCTGGTGTGTTGGTAGCCAGCTGGTTCATGTAGGTTTTGGAAGGAGGCAAAATCCCCAGTATCCGCCACAGGATCAGGAAGTAGTACTGAAGGGCACAGGCTTCCTGAGGAAGAGCACAGAGGGACAAGTGAGCAAAGAGAGATTCCAGTTTCAGTCGCTACAGCTGGTGGAATCCCCTCAGCACAGCCTCGACTCCTGGAGATGGGCCACACCAGATGGACACACACTGGGCTCAGTTTTTGGTGTATTATACAACAAATTATGCAACAAAAAGGAGTTGGAAAAGAAAAAGGAAAGTTTATACAATTTTTTTTTTCTGCTTCAGACTGGCCATGAGGAAGAAGTTCTTCCCCAGGAGAGTGGTGAGACCCTGGCATGGGTTGCCCAGGGAGGTGGTTGAGGCCCCATCCCTGGGGGGCTTTAAGGCCAGGCTGGAGGAGGCTCTGGGCAGCCTGATCTAATGGGAGGTGTCCCTGCTCATGGCAGAGGGGTTGGAACTGGGGGATCCTTGTGGTCCCTTCCAACCCTGACAGATTCTGATCTGTTTTAGCAGAGGACTTAGTAGTGTTGGCTTGATGGTTGGACTTGATGATCTTAAAGGTCTCTTCCAACTAAAGGATTCTCTGATTCATCATATTCTAGCCAGAATTACCAGGGGGACAAAGCAAGTTGTAGAACATGCTATGAACTAAAAACTGACATGGGAGGTACCACCACCATGAGCTCTACCATCAGCCAGGAGATTTTTAAGTTCCCCTACTACAACCACTGTCGAGGATACTTTGGTTAAATACTTCCCTTTACCAAGTTTGAGAACTTGTTATCCCTCAACACAGACAACATTACAGCAACAGCCTCACCAGTGCAGTGACATTCTTGTTCTCTTTCCTCCTGAGTGTATCAAACTGTGACCCAGCTGCCAGCAGAGAGGTCAGGGCAGTGTAAAGCTCATCATATTTCATAGTCTTGGAGAAAAGGACCTCACAAACCTGCAAGAGATGGCAAGTCAGGATCAGTGCTTTGCAAATTGCACAGCTCTGCATTTCTATAGAGTCAAGCTCTTCTCTTATGCATTCAGATTACCCACAGAGCAAAATGATGCAACATGGAACTCCAAAGAGTTCATTCTGTTGGGGATTTTTCTCCCCAGTCAGTCAGAGTATCAATGAACTGGTTATAAGGGAGCATGCATGAAGCAAGCCCATAACCTTGATGACAACATATTTAGTGAGGAAGTAAAACCCAGGAAGAACATGGGAGTAAAACGATGAGAAAGCAACTCTGACACCATGTGTCTTTGTCTCAGACTGAAAATTCAGTGTGGGTATGACAGGGCTTCTCTGTCACAGCACACAGAGTAGAATCACAACCATTACTGCAAATGGCCCAACACATCTTCACAGACTTTGCACAGTGACCTCCCTGACACATAATCTGGCAGAAAAAGGAATCCTGTATTATCCTACTCAGCCACTACTCTTATCTCCACTGGGTGAAATACTTCTGCTCTAGCTGCTTCATCAAGTCTTTCCTTGTCTATATTCCCTGGTACTTGTCAAATGAACGTGGCCCTCAAGCTGACAGGAAAGTCTTTAAAGACAAATCACCAACCGTGCTATCCAGACGGTTCAGATCATCTTCAGAGGCTTCAAGAGACAGGATGCAGTAGAACCTGGGCTGTGGAACTGCATCTGGAACGTGAGGACAGAAAACAACACTGAAAGCAACAGTTTTAATCAGGGACTATTGTGTTGTCCTCTCTCCTCTATCCCCACAACCTTGCACATTTTGAGACTAGTACCAGATTCTACTGAGCTAGCTCTATGACACATCAGACATGCTTTTAAATGATGGTATATGCAGCCAAACTTTTCCCACTCACATGATCCTGGCACAATAAATACACAATTAACTCTAAATTACTTGTAGCATACTCCCAGACATCAATAATTTCGTTTAACAAAATTTTTCCTGCATTACATACATTTTTAACCATTACAGTGGGGAAAACTCTCCATGCCAGGGCACAGGAAGGGCTCTCATTTGTTTGTAAAAGCAAACCTTGGAGTAAAAAAAATCCTTACTTTTTATTTCTTACCTGATGAGCAGTGTTTGGACCAGTTTTCTTCCACTTCTTTAAACCCATGATAAAGTGGGACAGATGTTCTCCTGTTACTGTCCTGGGATCCACTCACCCAGCCAATGGGTGGAGTCAGCAAATTATATTGCACCTAAATTAAAAAAACAAAAGCAAAAACCAAAGAACCACCCATGGCAGCCTTGTCACTAAAGGGTGATGGGGGGGAAATACCACCCATGGCAGCCTTGTCATTAAGAGGTGGTGGTGGGGAAATACCACCAGAAAAAGAACCATAAAATACAAAAACAACACTGTTGGTAAAACACAATCTTTCCCAGCTTCTGAGGGAAGCCCTAGACACTACTTGATGATATTTATTCTGGATTGAGCATCTTAAATGAATGGTCAAGCTTCCAACAACTGAAGAAGCCATGCACAAAACACCAGCACCCCACTGAGGAGAAGGGTGCCAAAAAGCTAAAGCAAGGATGTGGCCTACAAGATATTTGTGAAATGGTGCCTAAGTACCCAAATATGAAAGATAAGGTGAGGTGTTCATCCTCTCCTTACCAGGATTTATTAGGACAGTAGTTACACAAGGAATTTACTGAACCTGCTGCTAGGAACCAACCATTGTAGTTAATCACACATTGTAACCTCAAAGGTTGGTAACAACATCACACCCAATTGACTTGCAAAAGCCATGAAGAGACCACAACATGTCAGATGGTTGCCTGCTACAGATTTCTTCTGGTTGAGCCATTACACACCCAGAACATGCTCTCAAAATCTTACCTGTTCAAACAGGTACACGGGGGCCTTGGAGTACTGGTGGAGCAGGTAGTCAAACACCAAGAGAAGACGCGCTACGAGGAGAGGCACAGAGGATTGCTGGGTCTCCATGTTCACTGTCAGCTCCACAATTGTCTGGATACAGAGCATCATGATAGACCTGCGGCCCCTCTCAGAGAAATTGTGGAAAATCAGCAGGAGCAGCTGGAGATGTTCAACATTCAGATCTTCTGTGTCACTGGGAAGAGTCCCCTGCAAGGCGTTCTGCTTCAGCGTGCCCACGAACCTGACAACAGGAGAGGAAGATTATGGAGTTTATTTTTCTCCCTGTTCTTCTTAGATCCCTCTTTAATCTCTTGAACTAGAAGCTAGAGAAACATTTTCAGTATATTTTTCTGCTTATGCTTTCTAATACTGGCAGTTTCACAAACTGCTCACCACTTTATGTATTGGAATGAGACTATGGAAACAGTGAAATCTACCTAAGTTAAATTAGCAGCAAATACATTTGATGCAAGATATCAACCATTTAAAGGGAGAAAGTGAGAAACACACTTATTCCTTCCTCTCCCCTATAGCCCTAAGTCAGCTAATCCCCATCAGAGAATTTGACCTTCTGGTAATGGCACAGAGAGGAAAAATCTTGGCACCATCACAACAGAACCTACCAGAAACCAGCTGAAACAAGACATTTGTCTTCCCTTTTTAAAACCAGCATTGCTGTAAATAATTCAGCCTCCACCAACTTAAATCCTGATCCTAGGTTTCATTTCCTAGGCTCTAGGTGAAGAACTCCAGCAACACAGAAGACCAACCCTTTGCTCCTTTCAAGCATCACTGCTTGGAGAACACACACACACTTGTTACACTGGTCTCAGGGAACCTGCACTTCATAGAAAGTTAGAGAGGCAAGAGATGACTTCCAGCTTAGCATAAAACCACCTCACCTTTCCCAAACTTTAAGGCATTCTGGAACATCAGGATCTCCCTGGGCAGTGGCTTTATGCTGCCAAATCAGGAGAAGTCGTGAGAGCACCGACAGACTTTGAGGGTGGATGTAGAGAGGCCATGGACCTTCAGAAAAAGGGGCAACCCCCAGCTGCTGAAGCAACGTGTTCTGGAACAAAAGAGACTGGCTGAAAAGGGGCAAATCCCATTGGATTCTTTAATTAAAAGCATGATTTTAACAGACAAGAAACATTAGGGCTCTTAGAGCCTGTTCACACTGCAGTCTCTCTCCTACTTCAAATATATGTGTAGCTACAGAGGGGCAGTCAGGCTGTCACTTTGCCACTAAAACACAACAAATTTTCAACTTCAACACAAATGCACAAAAATTGGCACAAATGGGCTCTACTCATTTACTGTGATATCACAGCAGGAAAAGATTATGCTATGTTCAGTACCTAAGGATGTGGGAGATGACCCCTTTGATCACAGTATTGCTGCCTTCTTTTCAAATATAGCAAAAAGGCAAATATCTGAAAAGTCCAACTGCTTTTAAAAAAACTGTTTTAAATATAGTAGAAAACAGTCAACCAAATGTGTAGGGATTGAATTCAGTGACTGGTAAGCAGATTTACAACCCCTACTTGCAGTGTGAAGCTGGGTCAGCCTGTGACCTAGCACAGAAACCTAGAGGCTACAAAGTTAGCACATGAAAGCAAAAGGATTAACTTGATTCTCTCCTGAGAGAATTTTAAGGCCTTTTGACATCAGTCTTGACAGTAAAGCAAATCTGTGGGAATGTCTCTTGATAAATGCATGGATAGAGGCCACTCTCCAAAGGAAAATATCCAGACTCATTTCCTTTTCAGCTTTCATCACCTTCAAAATTCAGTGGATTAATTTGAACTCTATAGTCGTTAAGTTTATACTCTGCAGGATGTTTTGCACTGGATGACTGCAAAGGTCATCCAACTCGTTGGATCCAAAATACTTCAAGCTCTGTTTGCCAAAGAATATATTCTAGAGCCAAATGGACTCAACGCACTACTCTAGGTGCAGAGAGTCAGTGCAGACATTAACAGACACCAATGCTTCCTTGTATTTACACATTCAATCACAGACATACCTGCAAGGCAGGGGACTGAAGATCTGAGGTCACCAAGGAATGGTTGAAGTGATACAGAGCAGCAGCAAACTCCTCATCCGACGTGCCTGTAAGACAGGCACCAAGCTCTTTACTACCACTGCTCTCCTGCACTGAAGACTTCTACATGGAGCTAAGAAAACATACACCTCTAAATCCTGTTCTCTAACAGGGGGGTTCTGCTGGCTCACCCTTAAGCCCATCCTTATCCACTTCCTTGATGATGCTGGCCAGTGTAGCCATGTGCTGCTCCGAAAGGGAGACGCTCAGGTAGTTGCGGATGAAGTTATTCCTGGAGTTCAGCATAGAGGAAGTGATAAAGTTCAAAATGTTTGAAGCTAGGCTCAAAAACTGAAAAGAAAAA